AATATATATGTTAACATGAATATATTTGATTTTTCCAAATAAATCTTATTAATGACAACTGACTATATAGTAATAGTTCACGCACACACAGCCATAAACACTCACACACACACACCTACACACCCACATAAGGTCATTCAAGCTTCGGCTTAAGCACTCGTAAATTTTCCATATTTTTGTTGCTGTTGTTTGTGCCACATTGGCGGAAGTATCGCAGCGACATCAGCGAATCTCTGGACTGCGGCTGCCACGTGGGGAGCCATGCGGAGCCGCTGTGAAGGCAGTGGCCAGCTGTGGGCCTCCCTTGAAAGATGGCTATCCAGTAACAGTAGCGCAGTAGTTCTCTATTCCATTTTTTCCACTTTTTTTACTTGGTTTCTGAAAAATGAGCGCATAAAAAATTGAAAACGTTTTCTCATATTAAATGTGTGCCGAGTGCATTGCATGGGCGTGGCACCGCCACCACCAGCAGTTAATAATGAGTGTGAGTGTGTGTGTGAGTGTAAGTGCAAAAGGATAAAAATTAGTGATATATAGTATATACATATAAACATTTAGCAACAGCAAGAGAGTGGGAGACAGGAAAATCTAGAGGGAAAGAGAGAACGAAAGCGAAAGAGAAGACGAGAAGGTAGGTGGGAAGCAGAATGAGAGGGAGATAAAAATCAAAATACAGAGAATGAGAGAAGATAGGTAGAGGGAGAGAAAAAGGCAGATAGGGATAGAGAAAGAGAGAGAGGGTGAGAAAGTGTGAGAAGAGGAGGGGGAGACCGAAAGAGAAAGAGTGGAAAAAAGAAAGAGAGTTTGAATGATAAAGCAAGGGAGACAAAGATAGTGAAAGAAAGAAAATGCGAGAGAATTAAAGAGAAAGAGAGATATATAGAAAGAGGGAACGAAGAAAGGAGAGATATGTAAATGGAGGGATAGAGTGAGAGAAAGATAGTCAGAGTCGAAATAGCGAGAAAACAAAACAAAGAAAAATAAATAGAGAGATGAGCAAGAACATGTAGAGAGAAGAAAATACAGAATGAAAGAGAGAGAGAGAGAGTGAGAGGAGCAGATGTGGAGAGGAAAAGAAACTGGTAGTGAAAATGAGTATAAGAGAAATAAGGGAAATTAGGGAACAGAAAATATTAGAAGAACGGTAGTTATATACATATATGTATATTATATT